TCATTGGCCCGCCTCATCTTCTCGTCCTTCACCTTGGAGTTTTCTTCAACCTTCCGCGGCAATGCCTTGATAAGAGAGGGCAAGACAATCTTCTTGGGTTGTTTGGCTTCCAGTGTTGATGGAACCGGAGCTTCTTTGGAATGATTTGCAGATTTTTTTTGGGCACGTGCATCCGATGCAGATGGCTTTTTGGCCCCTTCACTTTGTCCATTTGCTAAAGATTCTTCGTCCGTTTCAGCTTCAAGGGTGTTATTGGATCCTGGAGATCTAGATTGAGAATTGGACTCCAATGGGCTGTCATCTTTGGAAGACGCAGTTGTTTGCGAGGGACGTCGGTGCCGCTGGTGCTCGTCTCAGGATTGCCCAGCAGCTTCAGATCCACAATGACAAACTCGTTGTGGAAGTTGCTTACATGCGTCATGTTATGAAGGAACACGAGAAAGGGGGTTCCAAGAAGAGGATTGCTCAACTGGAAGCTGAAAAGACGAACTTGGAGAATAGCAATGCCGAAAAGGACAAAGCCATTGCTCTTTTGCAAGCCAAGTTGTCTGACCTCCTGGCTAGGTCTAGGGCCCAAGAGGGCAAACCGAACTCGGCTTTGGCTCTCGAGATTTTGGCTTTTGCTAAAGACGAGCTGTGGCGCACCGTTAAGTTTATGGTGAACGACGAGGAAATCCGCAGAGCTTGCAAGAAGGTCACCAAACATTTAGAGGTTTGTCGAGGCTGGCAAGGTGATGCAGAAAAGGAGGAAGCTTTTTTCCTCACCTACAAGAAGTCGGTGGTAAAGGGCATTAATGCCCGTCGCAACTATCTTACTCAGGAGTTGAAGAAGGTTGCTTTTGCTCGCATGGATAAGAGCAAGGCCCTTCCCACTACCGCCATGATCCTCAAGTGTGCTTGTCGCCAAATTGATTTGGAGGTACGTCCATATTCGTTTTATGCTAATGCCCCAAATGTTTGACTCACTTTTTAAATACCAATTTCCCCTGTTGCGCAAGGTTGAAGAGGAAAAGGAGCTTTTCATGTGGTACTGGAGCGAGTTCTTGCCTAAGGTCTTCGGAGCCATTGAGTGGGGCAAGAATGTTATGTTCTACAAGACCATCAGCGAAGCCAAAACGAGCACCAACAAGCCCATTTTCACCCCTCACCATGAGGCCAAGGCTGTTGTTGTTTGGGACAACAATGAAGCCAAGTGGACCGAGCTGCACCAATGGGTCAAGGAGCACCCAGGTGAGGCCCAACCCATCAAAGGAGGGAAGTACACCAATGTTGATGCTGGCCAAAGCGAGCATACTGCTTGGGAAGCTGATGGTTTGGAAGCCTACAACCAATACAAGAAAAAGGTGAAAGAGGCCCATTCCAGTGCCCACACGGGCAGCATTATCAGTCTGGAGCAGAAGACTCTGGAGCTTTTGCGCATTGCAAATGGGCACACCTGTGGCTCCCACAAGCAACAGCTGAAACTCAACAAGGCCAACAAGCGCAGAGCCAAGAACGCCTTGGAGCCGCTCCAGGCTAAAAAGGCCAAGACGGTTACCACCTTGGACGATGAAGATGACGATGCATACATGTGAGAGCATCTTTGTTTGGCCCATTTGGGCATTTCTCGGCCTCTGATGGATCTTCTGGCCTGGTTTCCGAAAAAGGTTTGGGCAAGTTGGCAAATCTGTTCATCCAATTGGACATTTCTTCTGCAGTGTTTGCGTCACGTTCCTGTGACTTTCTGCGAACTGTTTCTGCAACAACCAAAGACATTTCTGCTCAGCCCTGCTTTCTATTGCCCTCTCCTACTAAATGGTACTGTTCTCTGAGCTAATAACTAAGTTAACGATTATTTAGTTGTAAACTGCTTTGTCATTGTTGTCGCAGTCATGTTCACTTGGGCAAAGTAATGACGGATAATGTAGGTATGGTTGTGTCGGCTTGTGCACGGGATCTTTGGCGTCTTGCATGCGATCTCAGCGCCATTGGGTAAAATTCTGTGATGCCCTTTTGCGACTTGTGCTCACTATTTGTATGCACTTGCGCAAAATGTCCGGGGACTCCGGCAAAGCTACATGCCGTCCTATCACTTACCCAAGCTCACTTTTTGGAGGCATTTGCACCAAATATCCACGCACTGGCATAAAGGTGCGTACCGCCAGATCTCTGTACGGAGCACACTTTTTCGACGCACTTCCACAAAAATATGACGGACTCGCAGGGACATTATGTTTGTTCATTTGGGCAATATGATCTGTGAACGAGTACATGATTTGGCGTATGTGGGTGAAATAATGCCCTTCGACATGATAGGGGATCCACATAAATGAGTCGCTAAAATTTGATCCAGCGTTTTGTGCACCTTCCCCATAATATCCACTTTGCCCAAAATGCGCTTCTTAGATGTGGATTGACAAGAAGTTTAGCAGCGAGAAATCGGAGGACGCCATTGCATATCTTGTCCTGGATCGACTGGGCAAGAAGGCCTTCTTGTTGACCGGCGACCGTAAGAAGGACAAGGGTAAGTTCTTGCTACTCGATCGGGAACCTTTTGGTTGTCTAATTGCCCAGTGCACCTGACCAATCTGGAACCGTTGTTCTTCTCTTTCTTTACAGTGATCAAGGAAAGGCGTGCCGCATGGGTTGCCCATTGGAAAGATGCTATCACGGCAATCATGAACGAGCAACGCAACTTCATCGCGAACCAGATGTACATCAAGACCGAGGACTTTTGTGCTGCACATGGACTCGACAAGATGCCAACCCCGGAACAGCTCAAAGCTGTGGAAATGCGGAAGGTTCCTCTTGAAGACCTTGCCCAAGATGCTAGTGCACAAGAAAAGGCAGCGCGTGAGGAAATCAAGCTGCATTCTTCCCTTTACACGGAGAAGCTTTTGCCATGTGTTGCTGGTGCATCCAGCTGGTTTAGGGAGTCAATCCGCCACAACCAGTTGATTAGTGTGGCCAAGTGGAAGGGAAAGCTGTGTGTTCCTCCCGGATCTGAGGCAATGACCCTCCTCATCTACGAGAACTCCTACACCAGATGGAACCTCTGCTTCCAGCCTGGGAACAATGACTGTGGCAGAAAGAAATGGACTGCCCCCAAGAGCAGCAAGGACTCGGAGACAAAAAAGTTTGCTACCAAGTACTCAAACTCCAAGGTGGGCAATGCCAAGTATGGAGGTTGGTCCAATGCAGGCCGAAGGCGCTACAATGCCCTCAAGCTTGAGGTTCAGGATGCCCGTGCCAAGCCCAATGCCCAAGATGCAGAACAACAAATGCTGAAATGGATGTTGCAATATTGTGGAAAGGAAGACCACCAGCCCGATCCGGATGCCGTGAACAAGAAGAAGAAGAAGGGCAAGCGTTCCTACGATGATCTGGTGGACTGTGACTAGGGTCCTTCCAGGTTGTCAATTGGCAGCCAAGGCCCCATTGAATGGGAAGCCCTTGGCCGCCTTTTGATTCCCCTTGGTGCTTTTTGGCAGGGCTTTTGTGAGAAATTTGTTGCCCAGTTCTCTCTGTTCGGAAGCCTTCCGGTGCTTTTTCGGTACCCATTGCCTCCCTTTCCTTTTGCTGATCTTGTTAATTTGGTCGCTGGTGGTTGCCCATCTGGTAGCCTTTCCCCCCCCCTTTTCACCCCTTAAACCATGAGGATCTTTTACGGTGATCCTCTTTTTGCTTTGGTGACTCAGTACTGCTCTATTTGGATTAGCGTTAACAATCTAGCCTTTTGATATTCCCACTCTTATCCTAGTCTTATCTCGTTTTAGCTGGTTTTAGTTGAAACTTGGCCACCTGCAGGTCCCGTTTTGGTAGGTAACGCCTTTGTGATTAATAGCCCCTCTGTGCAGGATCTATTGTTGTTGGGAATGCATTCTTCATGTTCTGACCATCCAAAAACCCATGGCGATGTGACTTCTTTTTAGTAGATAATGACTTAACGGTTGGATACACCAAGGGGCACAAAGGGTAACATACCACGTACTGAAGTTGTTTCCCCTGCCAGTAGTAGATTGTAAAGTACGTCACTTCCCAACCTGGAGCACCGGTTGCCTAATTGGAACCTTGGACTTGGTTCGGAAGGAGAGGTTGGGATATGCTTCCCAAACGAGACCTGAGGTCTCGTTTTCAGAATTGCCTATAATTGCGCTTCTTAGATGCCTATCCAAACATTGCTCGCGATGAAGATCGCTCAGAGCAAACCTGTGTACGCCAACTATGACAAACAGTTGCGCGACAAACCTGTTCTTCCACTCATCATCGACTATGAATTCCAGGTAGGAACTCAGCGGTAGGTGCACAAGAGCTGGGATGGAGAGCCCTGTTTGGTGGAGATCTCCTTCCTCTGGCGCTGGAAAGGCCAGCCCAAGGCTGGCAGCCAATGCTATTCAATCACTGTGGAAGCAGTGATTGAACAGTCTAATTGCTCAATACCCTGGCACTGGCCATACAGGATCCTGTCTACTACAGAGCTCTACTTGTGCTGTTGGGTCTGTTTCTCAGGTCAACTACTTCTTCATTAGTACTTCTTTAAACTATAACATGAACACAAACTCTGATTTTGCATGAAACTCCATCATCCAGCCATGCAGGATACAGATCCGTGCATCTCTTTTGGCTGGTATTGACCAAGCTATCTTTCTAGATAGGTCATGGCTGAGGAACTGCATCATCCTTCCTTACAGAGGAATACTCTATGTCCTCTACAGCTGTTCCTATCTTGTCTGATGGTGACACAGCTCATTGTACTGAAAGAGTGTACAGATGCAGCAGCGATCTTTCCATCAGACTGAGCCAGCACAGCTGCGCCGCACCCATATGGCTCCTATGGCATAATCTCATCGCTCCCCACCATTGGAGTCATGGATGGGGTGCCAACAAGCTTGCACATCATGGGGCTCCCTCGATACTTCCATGACTGGGAGCATCTGACTTCTCAGTGTGGACTTTGGTCGCATACTCAGGGGTTACCAACCCTCTTGAATGCATCAAGGTGTCTTTGCTGAGTACCATTGCACATTGGGAGGGGCATCTCATGGGCTTGTGATCAAATTCCCGAGTCGTGTTCAGGGAGAGAGGGTCATTGGCACTGGGTCTATTTGACCGTCATGGGATCCCATCTGGTCTCACCCTACTTGCACACAAGCTATCTGGCTTAGGAGGCATT